AAGTTCTAGCTTAGGAGGACGATATAAGACTGACTAGATGTCCAATTAATGAAAAAGATAACTTTAAAATTTTAACCAATTCTGAGTGATTAGGAGTTAAAGCTCTAGTCAGCATGCAAGTGCGCATTGTACGAATTTAATGATATCCACTTATAATCCATCTATATACTGTCGAGGGGCCCATGTGGTCTTGGACGTATAATAGAGTCTAGTCAAAAGAGTATTATCGACTTAGAAAGGATTCCGAAAAAATAAGAATATAGTCGTCAACTCTTACTCCAAGTCTAGATTCGAACTCTATGAAAACCATCGAGGGATCATTTATTTTAGTTGGATCGAGTTAGACTAATACACGGATGAATGCCTGATCATCGCTAAAGCCCTCAAGTATGACGTGACAAAAATAATGACAATTAAGTCGAAAATTTTTAGAGTGATATGTATTGTACATTTTAGTGATTCGTGCTAATTCCTAATTTTATTCACAATACTAGAACGAATGAGGATAAAATAAATACTAAAAATATACATAATTTTCAATAATGCAATTTTAATTGCTACTAGAATTATCCTATAAACAATAATGTTGTGGAAGTGATGTGGCCAAACGTGGGACATAAATTGTGGGGGACAATACCATAAAACACATTATATCTCTTGAAAAAAATAGTGGTAGATCGATCATGACTTTATAGATCTAATGAGAGCACCATTTGCAACTTGAACTTTTTTCCCTTTGAATTTTCATATATTTTTTTCCTATTTCAAATTATCAAATTTGGACCCGTTTTGCTTAAAATGAGCCCAAATATTAAATTATTCCAACACATATAAAACATCGCGATATAAAAAAAGCATACCAAGAAGACAGTCTCAGCATTACTTGTCCGATTATGAGCCCAATGAATTAGAATTGATATTATTGACTCAATTATACTGAAAATTTGTTTATTCATTTTAATTTTTTGATTTTGACCGTGTAATTTTAATGAACCATGCTTGGTCTACATTTTTTCTTACATCATTGATTAAATTCTACCACATAAGGGCAGTTTTAAAAAATAAAATAAAATTTTTGAACCAATATTTTCTTGCCAAAATAGCAAATATCATCCATGACGTTCCAAAATGAGTGTGCAAATGACATATCTCAATTTTAATACTTCACTACCTTGTAAGAAAATCGTCTAAATAACCTTAATTTTTGTTATTCATGCGTAGTTGGCTACCAATATTTAAAACATGGGTATTTTCCTAAGAAAAATTGGGGGATATACATGAAAATGACCCAAATAGTATATAAACTTTTCTAAAATGACCTTTGACTTTTTTAGAAATTTGAAACTACCCAAAATATCCTTGGAAAAATTTAACAACCAACCCTTTATATAATA